TATGACACTCATGAAACAACCCCATTATTTATATCTGACAGACCTAGGAATGGAGGCCAAGTTCTTTTCTTATATCTAAAACTCTCCAATCACATGCTGCCCTCTGGCTGCCAACTGAAAGTCCTGAATGCTGTCACAGTATACTAACCACAATCCTTCGCTCACACCTTTGTAAAATCACATGCTTAGGGGCCACTGCTGTTGTTTGACTTCTGCAGCTTTTGTGGCAGAATCAGACCCAACACAGCAAGTGAATGCCCTAGGACAGAACGCTTTGGAGAAGTTTTCCTGTTAAGGTCAGCATCTTGTTAACTCTTGGGCCCACCTCTTTCCACAGCTTCCTGGCTTTTGGACAGACCTGTATGCATCAGATTTGCTTTCTCTTTGTTATTTACAAGCAAAGGTTAGAGAGTAAGGCCTTTTTCTTGTGGTGGTCCAGGATGCTGTGAAAATAAATCCCTGGTTGCATCTAGCCCAGCCTGGACATGCAGATGCACTGCCACTGATGTTCTTTTGTGGTCATGATAAATCCCACTTCTCCACTTTCACAAAGAATGCCAGGTTCATGGATTTGTTCTTCATTAACAGAATGGGCAGGAGCCTGGGAGTTAATGGAACAATAAATAAGGGCCTCTGGTTCTTCTAGGGTCCTTGGACCAAACATATGTGTTAGCAAGTGTCTTAACTGTAAGAACTGCTGCTTTGCTGAGGGTGGCAGGTCACAGCCCTATTTTAGCATTAGAAAAGGGATGTAGCCCCTGTCATTGACCCACTGATTAACCCATTGGGTGTCTCTGCCAGGTTGTAAGGGTGACAGAGCAACCTGGGAGCTGGGTGCTAAAAAACCAATTGCCCATTAAAGCACTGGGAACTTTAAAGGAGCAGCACCAGCAGAGTGATAGGATCCTGTAGAGGCGAGTCTACTCACTGACAGACTCCCCTAGAGGTGGAGGGAGCTAATGAGCAGCACCCATGCACCCTCTGGTTGGAGAGGGTTCCTTTGTTATGCTCCAGCCAGGGGGTTATGCACATATGCACACTTCAGGGTGATCTATTTTTTTGAGCACTACCAACTTTGTAGTTCTATGGAAATAACTTGTCAGCAACCTGAGAAACTACTTTGGACTAGTTTTCAGAGGCCTCCAGAACAAAGATGTCTCTCAAATGTTCCACTCTTTCTCCTGTACTCTAAAAGTTAGATTCACAAATGCTCACTCTGTGGACAGATTTTTGGAATAAATGCATTGTTCCTCAATCATCCCTGTAATCCCAGTGTGAAAATAGAGGGGGACATGATTAGGAACAAAACGTGCCTTGTACAGTCTCACATTCCTTTCCATTCTGTTTAGGTGCCAAAGTACTAGTCCCACCCTAGTAATGTCCATTTTTTCTCTTTATAGCCTCCTACTCTTCTAAGAAAACAATGGACAATGGAGGATATTTGGCAGGGAACCAGGTCAAATTTCTCTTGAGCAACACTATTTCAGTGACTCCATTCCTCAAGATCATCTAGTTCTTCCAGTATGATAGCCCCATTCTCCCCTGTAATGATGATGCTTCCTAACTTTGGGCTAAATCCCATTTCATCTTTATGAGCTTAAATGACACTTAGGTAGTTGTGTAAGTGCAAATGTCATCACTTCTGTGACTTTTTCATTCCATTCTCACCTGTAGGAGAACACAATTGCCCAGGTATATATGGACCTGTCCAAAAGCAAAATGGCAAGGAGATCCTTTCACCTTTTAGCTCAATAGCCAGGGTACTCAGAGAGCTTACAGTGCATGTGCCACAGACTCAAGGAGATCATGCCCACACCACCTAACTATGATTCTGGATCCACCCATGGTAATACCTGGAGTATGGTCTAGCGCAGGGCTGTCCAAATTCTGGAGGCTAGGGATAGACATTACACATAAACTGGTTTAAGTGATCAGAAACTTATTTAAACCTGTAACAGAACAGACATTCAGTGCACATAAACCAGTTTGAAAATGACCAAAACCGGTTTGAGATAAACCTGGTTGAATGTAGTATCAGATTTAACTGATTTGGCTCAAACTGGTTTATGCAATGTCTGTCCCAGACCCTTTGCTGGTTTAAGTTAAACCAGACTCCCCCAGCATCCCGGCATTCTGTCTGGGCAGCTCTGCTCTGTGCTCCAGTGAGCTGGGCTGGCCCCTCCCCTCTGCTGTCTAGCTAGAGCAGGGGCAGGGTGTGGCCAGAAGCTGGCCTGCCATGGCCCCTGAGGCAAATTTCTCCCTCTGTCCCCTCTCCACCTCCCTCTGCTGGCAAACCATGGGAACCACAGCTGGGGTTTGCCACCCCCTGCCCCACCTCCGTGGCTTGCCTGCAGCCAGGCAGGGATGGAGGTAATTCCTCCCTCTGTCCCCTCTCTCCTCTGGAACTCCTGGGGGTTTGGCTGAAGTCTCTGCAGCTTGCCTGCAGCCAGGCATGGAGGGGATTAATTTCACAGCCTGGCCTGGGGGGATGGTGGGGGGCAGCAGGGAGAGAGGCAAGCTAGGCCCCTGTGTGGAGATCCAAGGCACCTGTGAGCCCAGAGCTAAGACCCGCAGGACCAGACTGAGAGGTGGGAAGTGTTGGCAAGGTCCTGAGAATCATCACACATGTCAGAGATGTAGTTAAGTAAAGTTGCAAAAAGCTTCACCAAAAAATGCAGAGAGCTACATTTACATTATAAAGCAGAAGGTGTAAAAGGTGGCAATACCTAAACAAAGCTTTCATGAATGCCTGGCTGTAAGGAGACACTCTGCCCTCAGGATTAGTAAAACTAATTCTTGTCTTCCTGGTTTACATTTTAAGTTAGACTAAGTTGTGTATGCTGTGTTTTACTGGGCTGTATCTTAGCTTAGAGGAAGATTTTTGGTAGTTCCCTGTTGTATGCTTTGCAAATTGCTGTGCTCAATATGTGCTTGCTTCAGAGAAAGGACTTTTTCCCCATCCCCACTCCTCAGTCTGGCAGCAGCTGCCCTCCACTCCTTCCCTGCTGGTGGTTGGCATCCGGTATGTTGTGCTAGCCCTTGCTGGTGTCTGGCAGGGAGGGGTGAGAGCCTTGGAGGGTGTCTTTCTTCCCTCTCCTTTGGCAGTGGCCGGCAGGCATGCTCTAGCGCCCCCCTGACTTTTAGTTTGAACCACTGCAGGCATGTGGCTGCATTTCCTGATTTAACAGAGAATGTCTGTCCAGTTATTAATCAGTTTAAGCTGCACAACTTAGACTAACTTGCAAAGAGTGAATCAATTCAGATTCAGGTTTTTTGAATATCTGTCTCTAAGTGGCTGCAAGACCCATATCTTGCAAACCACACTGATGGGGGCCACATGCTGCACAGGCTGCACCAACTTCTTTATCAACATCTTCTTTTTAACATCTTTATCAATGACGTAGACATTGGTGTCAGAAGCGTACTGGCTAAGTTCGCCAATAACACTAAACTTTGGGGCGTAGCGTCCACACCTTAGGACAGGCTAGTGATCCAAACTGATTTAGATGAGCTGAGTAAGTGGGCGGACCCAAACCTGATGATGTTCAATATTGAGAAATGTAAGGTACTCCACCTTGGGAAAACCCCCCCGCAGCATGCTTATAGGCTCGTCAGTGCTACGCTTGTTAGCACCACGGCTGAAAGAGACTTGAGGGTCATGACTGACCACAAGATGAACATGAGCCACTAATGCGATGTCGCAGCTGGCAAAACAAACAAAACTCTGGCTTGCATCCATAGATGCTTCTCAAGTAAATCTCTGGATGTCATCCTCCCACTGTATTTGGCCTTGGTGAGGCCGTAGGTGGAGTACTGCATCCAGTTCTGGGCTCCACAATTCAAGAAGGATGTGGAGAAGCTTGAGAGAGTCCAGAGGAGAGCCACACGCATGATCAGAGGGCAAGAGAATAGGCATTACGAAGAGAGGCTGAGAGCCATGGGACTCTTCAGCCTGGAAAAGCGCAGGCTCAGGGGGGACCTGGTGGCTGCATATAAGTATATAAGGGGTGTGCATCAGGATCTGGGAGAATGTCTGTTCACTAGAGCACCCCAGGGAAAAACAAGGACCAATGGTCATAAACTCCTCCAAGACTGTTTTAGGTTGGACATAAGGAAAAATGTCTTTACTGTCCGAGCCCCCAAGACCTGGAACAGACTCCCTCCAGAAGTGGTGCAGGCACCTACTCTGGATTCAAGAAATGTTTGGATGCTTATCTTGCTGGGATCCTTTGACCTCAGCTGACTTCCTGCCCCTGGGGCAGGGGGCTGGACTTGATGATCTTTGAGGTCCCTTCCAGCCCTAACGTCTATGAAATCTATGAAACATAAGCCACAAGCCCTCCATGGCATACACTGCATGGGTGCCCCCTCATAGCATTGTGTGTGTGCACGTTCCCTGGCTGCACTGCATGCCTGGGTGTCCTGGCCTTAACCTCAGCTCCTTGCACATGGGCTCCCTTGCTGCATCGCTGTAGGCTCTTCTGGCACCACAGGCTGCCATGCACCACCCCTCCCTATCAGGTGGGGCAGGACCAGGAAGTGGAAGTCAGAGGGCGAGCCAGGAGACCCTGGCTGCTGCTGCCATGCAAGGCATGTGTGGGAAATGGTGCCTGGGTAGGAGCCTGGGGACCACAAATTAGCCATTCATAGGCTACATGCACAAGTAGCTAGAGCACTGTGCTAGGAAGTAGGAGATGCAGGTGCAGATGCAAGTGCCCTAACTACTACATCATTAAATTGAAAGGTAAGAGGAGCCTCATCTGGCATCAAGCAAGCAGTACTCATCTTTTTTTCTATGATTGTAGCTTCAGAACTTTCATAGTGTTCTGTGAGTACCCAAGCAATCTCTTCCACCTACAGCCTACTGAGCATGCTGAGAAGGGAAGTGCAGGTCCATCTTATCTACCCCTAGCTAGACACCTGGTTGTTGTATCAAAGAAGGATACCAGGTTAGGCTGACATGATCTAACTTCGGTAAACCCAAGTTGTATTTAACCCATTTTCCATGTACATCCATGCCTTTCTTTTTCCTTCCACCTTTGTTTTAGCATCTTGCATGCATGCTGTTGGACTTTCACAAGTGCTGACTTTAATATGACTTTAGGAAAGGTACCCAAACTGAATGAAACTCACATTTAAACTCTTCTCATCCCCCCACCACCTCACCCCTGGCTAGGGGCTGAATGACAAGCGGGTATACTATCATAGTAGTTCTCAACCTTTTTAGATTCCAAGCAGCCCTCTATATTTTTTTTAAACTTGGTATCACACAGTTGAGAATTACTTGTGTTATTTCAGCTTCTCTCAATGGTTCGCAACTGGAGTAATGCTGCCATAGCCAGGTGGAACTACCCTGTGCACCAAATACAGCACCCCTGAATGCCATGGCAGCCCCATTTGAGAACCATCATACTATCAGTATGGACACAGTCTTTTTGCTATAATGGGAGAACAGGATATTAGCTTGTGATGGCGCTTGGTACCTGAAGTCTATATATATATATATATGCATATATATATTTATTTAAATTAAAGCTTATATCCAAACCCCAGATTGTAACACATGAAACCCCACCCTCTAATTAGGCAAAGGACAGGCAGGTAAACCCAAAACATCTTATTGAATTCCTTTATTAGTACCAACACTCACACACTAATCCTCTAAGTACAGAAAAACAAATCAGTGACACACATACCAGACTCACAAGATATTACTCACTGCCCCTAGGGACAGCCCTGTGGGGTGTTTCTCTCCTATTTTCCTTTGATCCTTTTTCTAGTTGTCAACTCTTTGCTTTGTCTCCCCTTGTGTTGTTACCAAGTTTGGGCACCTTTGTCAGAATAGAACAGGCTCAAGGTTTCCTCTCACCTGTCAGTTGCAACTGTGTTGAACTCTGGGGAACCTAGATGCCTCCATTCTTAGACAGTGAAGAAGCAGCTCAAAACAGTTCTCTGGTGGTCCTTGGGAGACCACATAGTTATACAAACCTACCCTTCAGTAATAGTGGAGTTCCTGAAAAGGAAGTTTTCTCTCCACTTCTGTCATCTGGTCTAGCACTGACTTGCCAGTACTTAACTTTTCTAGCAACCTTCCTCATTTACAGACTTCCTGGTCACTGTAGCAGAGTTAAAAAAAAATCATCGACACTTGAGCTTTTTGTTTATCTATTTGTTTCAGGGTCTTCTGGGAAATCATTATGCAAAACCTACAGGAGGTGTTATAGTTCACTAGCTGTCATCCACATAACTAGAGCTGCAGCAGGGGGTGCACGTGGGTACATGTGCACCCCTGAGCATGGCAGTGCACCCCCTACAAAAAGTCGCCACTGACATTGTTGGTGGTGCTTTTAGGCGGTTGCCACTCGCCACCCCCGCCACTGCCGACACTGCCGGCGGCATCTGCAGGCAGTCAGTGATCACTGCTGGCCACTGCCAATACTGCCAGCAGCATCTGTGGGTGGTCGCTGACCCCTGGTCAGCGCTCGCCACCCTCCCTCCCCGACCACTGACAGCGCTAGCGGTGTCTGCAGGAGCTCCCGCTTATCACTGCCACGCTCCTGCTGCCGCGCTCCTGCTGCTGCCGTGCCCCCCCCGCTGGGGGCACACGTCGTTCATGACCTGGAGCATTCACTTTAGATAGTGTTAATTTCCTGTGATGAGTATTCAGGCTCTGTTTAAGTGGTCAAGTGGCTCAGGCCTTGCTAATTGACTCTCGGCTTTCTTCAACAGCACTGAAGAGTTTTACAATATTGTCCAGCAGACAGAGGCTTGAAGATCTTAAAACCCAGAGGCTATCTCATGGATAGTGGCGCCTGTATTTAGCAGGTGCCTCAATACAGAAAATGGCATTTGTCTGGGCAGACAGAATAGGATTATTGCTCTGTTAGATATCTGATGAGCATGCCTAGCAATGACTTCAAAAGGAATATACATGATATCAAAATTGGTTGTACATGATCCAGATTTACAGGCCAAGTTTTGAAGTTCATCCCGATATGCCTCTTCTATGTGAAGATAGCAAATATGGAGTTGTGAAAGCCTAAATCTTTAAGTAGACTGTAAAAAGATTTTTCTCAGCTTTTGGGGGAAAAATCAGCTTTTGAGCAAAGCCACGCATGAAGCCTGTCAACCCAAAGGTTTTTTCTCTTCAGATCATAAGTGTAGGCATAGTAAACAGGTAACAAGCTTGTATAGCAAGCTACTCTGCGCTGTGTTCAGTAAACACTGGCATATGTGAATAAGAAGAACAAAGGGATACATTTTATTGTGGAGCAGTAGGCAATCTCTGCAGACCCTTGGTCTGTTTCTCTAACCAATTAGTATAACTGAAGGACCATCTCCCAATTCCCAACTTCTTTAATCTTCTAAGTAATGGAGTGTCTCTAGCTTACAACTTTTATCACTGCAACACTTAAAATAGTGGTTCTCAACCTTTTTAGATTCAAGGCACCCTGCATTAGACTCAGGGCATCTCTTCTTAGTCTCAAGACACCCCTCAGAAAATGCCAGCTCTTCGTTTTCACTCATTTTTTGACTACAGAAAATACTAGAGCAGTGGTCACCAACCTGGAGATTGCAATCTAAAGGTAGATCATGGAGCCTCTTTTGGTAGATCCTTGGCTAGTGTGGGGACAGCTGGGTGTGCACACATATGCACACCTGCTGCCCCCCACCCTAGCAGGTAAATCTGTGGGGGAGGGAAGAGGTGGGGGCCAGATCAAGGCCCCCGTGGTGAGCGTCTGACTGTGTGGCCCAGCCAGGAGCAGGGGAAGGTAAGTGGGGCCCCAGCCCAGCCAGGTGGTGGGAGGATTGGAGCCTGGGGGCACTACTCCAGGGCCACAGGGGGCTCCCTCCCCATCTCTATGGGGGCGGAGGTGGCAGAGGCTGCTGCCACTGTGCCTTGAGTCCCCCTGCAGCTGGACATGTGCAGGCATGGCTCAACTCAGCAGCAGAGACTCATGTGGGGGCAGCCCCAGCCCAGCCAGGTCTGGGAAAATCTGATCGTCCAGGGGCGTGTTGGGGGGGGAGGGGCTCCTGCTGCTGGGCACAGCCCAGTGGAGGCCCTGACGTCCCTGTGCCTCATGTTTGGAAACTGGTGCATGTGGAATGCAGAGTAAGGCAGGGTGTTCTTCAAAGCTGGGCTCCCAGGCAAGGCATGGAGTCTGCTTGCATATGCCTTGGTGCCCACAGTGAGCCCTCTACTCTTCTAGGAGTTCAGGTTTTAGGATGCTGCTGTGTGTGTAGTGGAGAGTCAGTGTTAGTGAGGAGCCAGCAGCCTCTAGATTAGCACAGCACTGGCTGAGACAAAGCAAGGTGACCATCAGTCTTGAGGACAGTACTGTGGTTGCCTGCTCGTAGAGTGCCTCCCCCAGCTACCCCAAGCTGTCTGTATCTGTGCCATCCTGGTGCACCAGGGTCTGTGGGGATTGCTGAGTGGAGCTGAGTCACTCTTAGGGGTGGGAGAGGTGCCCACAGCAGGGTTGGTGCCAACACTGCTTTGTGCCCGCAGCCACCCTTCGAAGGAGAGTTTGCTGAGATTCTCCTGGTCAGGAACGAGGTCAACTATGCAATCAACAATTTGTCCACCTGGATGAAAGATGAGAACGTGGAGAAAAACCTGGTAAGGGAGGGTGTATCCCTGCTGCTGAGCTGGCAGGAGGTGGGGGGACATGCCTAGGGGTAAGTTAGAAGACTGCTCCTGACATTGTGGCTTTTTCCTTACCTCAGGTGGTTCAGCTGGACTCAGTCTTCATCCGCAAGGACCCCTATGGGGTGGCACTAATCATTGCGCCCTGGAACTACCCAATCCACCTGCTCCTGCTGCCAATGATTGGGGCCATTGCTGCTGGTGAGTCAGGTTCTGAGCCCAGCAAGGAACCACTTCCCCAGTGATGGGTTAGGGTGCTGGGATCCAGGTGATGGTACAATGTCTCTGAGCTACACAGTGACATCCTGCCTGGCCTCTCCCCAGGTAACTGTGTCATCATCAAACCCTCTGAGATCAGCAAAAACTCCGAGGCACTCATATCTGAGATGCTGCCCAACTACCTGGACAAGGTAAGGAGCTGTGCCTTACCTAGGCATCCATGTCCTGATCTGAACCCCTTCCTCATATATCCTGAGCTACTCCTGCAAAACCACACCTATTCCACTTCCTCCAGCATCCTACTCACCACATGCTCTCTTCCCTGAATGTTCGGCCAGTCCTTATATCTCCAACAATATGTCCTCTGCTCTACACCCCTTGCTGGCTCCCAACCATGCCTACCATATCTTCCCTCCCCATAGGACCAGATGTATCATGCCATGTTACTGTACCCACACTTACCCAGTTACCCTGCTATGACTAGTAAGGAGGGCAAGACGGGCAGAAGGGTGTGGGATAAAGTGGGAACCCACTATGCCCTCTCTTCCCTTGCAGGACTGCTTCGCTGTGGTGACTGCTGGTGTGGAGGAGACTACAAAGCTGCTGGAGAACAAGTTTGACTACATCTTTTTCACTGGTATGACGCAAGTAATCCCACATCCCCTACCCCAAAGATGCCTTCACTTCCACTCCAAAAGGGGCATCATTCAGACTTTCTGCACCCCTGCTCCCAGTCCAAGCAGCACAGGGACAAAGCCTGGGTCATGAAGCCAGTGCCCTCATTGCTGCTCTGACTGACCAAAAGGGGTTGTACCAAGAGAGAGAAGCTCAGCTGGATGACAGAGATGAAGGGATGACTTCAGGGACATTGTGTAGAGAAGAGACTGGAGCTCTAGGCAGATAGAGAGTCCTTCTTACTCCTGGAAGAGACTGCAATTACCTGCGTCTTATACTAGTCCCAGTCCCCAAGCCCCCTGTCAGGCTACTAGCAGGATCTCTATCCTCATGCATTTCCTCCTCCCCTACAGGCAGCCCCAGAGTGGGCAAGATCATCATGAAAGCTGCAGCCACGCACCTGACACCAGTGACTCTGGAGCTGGGGGGCAAGAATCCCTGCTATGTGGCTGACCAGTGTAACCTGCAGAATGTGGCCAACCGAATAGTTTGGGGGCGCTTCTTCAATGCAGGGCAGTCCTGCATTGCACCTGACTATGTGCTGTGCACCCTGGAGACACAGGAAAAGTTACTGCCTGTCCTGCGCCGCGCCATCAATGACTTCTATGGGGCTGAACCCAAGGAGTCACCTGACTATGCTCGCATTATCAATGACAAGCAGTTCCAGCGCTTGCAGGCCTTGATGAATGGTGGACGTGTGGCCATCGGGGGGCAGACAGATGCGAAGGAGCGGTACATCGGTGAGGGACCCTAGATTGGGGACACAGGCTTTTGGGGAGTGCTCAGGTCTGGCTGACAGGGGATCTCCTATATTGAGGAGGTAGGCAGAGCAGAGGCACCCCCATGTAAAAGGTCTGGGGTAACTGGGGAGAAAAGAACAGGGGAACTACAGTCCCAGGGCAGGGCCATGATGGGAAGGACACTGCATACCCCTGTGATTGTGGTGACCCCTTCCCTCCTTCTGCAGCCCCCACAGTGCTGGTGGATGTGTCAACATCAGCACCCATCATGCAGGAGGAGATATTTGGGCCCATCTTGCCTATTGTCACCGTGGCCAACTTGGAGGAAGCCATCGACTTCATCAATGCCCGGGAACGACCGCTGTCCCTGTATGCCTTCTGTGATAACAAGGTATGGAGCAGGGGTTGAATGCAGAAGAGGGCAGGGCAAGTGTATAGAGTCAGTTCTCATCCTGGATAACATCTTACTGCAGGGCCCAGGGCTCATGCCATCACTGGCTTTTCACCCTTTCTCTCCAGGTGCAGGAAAGGCAGCATAGGCAGGTGACCCAGCCCTGGGGTTCATCTCCATAGGAGAGCAGCTCCACTTTGACTCACGATGGAGACTGACCACCTGGCAGCAGGGCAACCCTCTGTGTATGCTTTGGCCAGTCTAGGAGTAGCTCCTTTGAGTGTCATTTTGGTCAGCTGCCCCGGAAGCCTTCAGGGTTGGGAGCATAGTCCTGCCCTCTTACCTCCCCTCTGGGCATTATGTACATGCTGGTATCCAGCAGACACTACTCTGATGCTCACAGTTCCTGGGCTGTGCCTGCTCAGCACTCCATGCTAGGATTTATACCAGTCAGACTGCACTGGCTAAGCACAGATTTAGGTGGCAACAGAATGGCTCTTGGTCATGAGGAGGTGCAGGTGTAGGAGAGGGGTTAGGGGTATAAACTGCAGCTATAGGTTTAGGGTGGGGGCTGAACTGGGGGTCCGTCATGTGCTTTGTTTCTCTGGCAGGCAATACACCAGCTGCTGGACCGGACGAGCAGCGGTGGTTTTTGTGGAAATGACACCCTGCTGCACGTTTCACTGGTTTCATTGCCCTTTGGTGGGATTGGTATGTTTGGGCCCCCTTGCCCATATCACCAGTGCTTGTTTTTATTTATCCCTGACCCATTGCTTCAGTCTAGGGCTGATCTTCTTTCACTCCTCTTTTCCTGTCAAAGGCCCAGCAGCAGACTAAGCCTGAGAGACCACCCCCACATGGGGGTGCGTTCTGGGGGCTGGAGGGTCAGTGCCCTGTGGTACTAGAGCATAATGCTCAGTGAGAGGGCTGTAGACTATCAGAGTCTAGATCTAACCTGCTTTGGCCATTGTTGCCCCGAGTGACAGAGAGGCCTGGCTGTGCATATCCACATGTTGAACCCACTCATGGGATGGTGACATACACTGGGCCAGGTAGCTGAGAGCATGGTGTGATGTGGCTATTGGGATTGCATGGAAGCTGGATTTGCTAATCAGCTGAAACACACAGCGGGGACAGGAGACAAGGCTTAGGTGCTGAAGGCCAAGCCAGACTTCCCTCAGAGCCTTTCCAAGCGAACTGTCTGACCCAACAAGTTCCGAGTCATCCCTGCCTCTCAGCTGTCTTGGAGCACTTCCCTTGGTGTTTCTGTCTGTGTCCCAGCCTTGGTAGCCCTAGTCCCAACCCTGCGACTCTTTCTCCTCTCCTGGGAGACATGTCATTCTCTGCCTTCTGTGACCAAAGGGAGGCTTTAACTCCTTCTCACCCAGTAGGTAGCATAACAAAGTGGTTGGGCATACTGAGTCACGCCTATTGTACAGAAAGATGACAGAACTACATATTTTACCGTGTCCTCGGGGCAGTATCTGAGTCAGGCTTTGTGTTGCAGGGAACAGCGGGATGGGAAAATACCATGGCAAGTTCAGCTTCGACACCTTCACTCACCACCGTGCCAGCCTCCTACGTAACGCAGGCCTGGAGGCGATCAATCGGATCCGGTACCCACCCTACAGCGACCAAAAGATGGCGTTGCTGATCGCTGCCTTTGGGGTCAAGCGCAGGGGGGCCTGCACTCTGATGTGAGCATGGGAGCGGCTCAGCCCACCCCACCAAGCAGCACACACCTACCCACAGGCTCCCTGACTACATAGGTTGAAGGAAGGGGCTCCTGTAATGAGCCACACTGACAAGAAGCTCTGGACTCCTCCTTCACAGAAACTCAGCTCCCTCTGTCCTTACTCTTCGGAGAAGGGGGGAAACAAATCTTCTCCCTTCCAGGCCCCATCCTTTCCTGAAAGCTCCTGCCCCTCCCACCCCACCTGGGTCCTGCCCCATTCTCCATCTGCTCAGGCCAGCAGGACAGGAATTTCCCTGACTCTCAGAACTGCCTCCCCACCCACTTCCCCCTGGAGTCTTGCCCCACTGGCTTGGTTGCTGGGAGTGGGCAGATCAGAAATGTCAAAGCACCTTCTCAAGGCATGTCCTTGTCTTGCAGAGACAATGAGCCCATGACCCCCAGGGAGCTGTCCCAGGCCAGCATCCCACTGGCTGCTACAGCATGGCTCTTGGGAGGGCTCTGCATGTCCAAGGGGACAAATGATGCTGACCCCAATGTCCTGCTCTGAGACTAGTTGACCCAGGGGAGGGGGGCTGTTAGGAAGTTTGGGTCCCAATCTGCACCCTTCTCTCCCTGGTTGACTACACCCTCCTGGTAACTATGCCCCCTACCTAGGGATCTACCTAAAGCTTGGCAAGAGAAAGGGATTTTTGTGGCCCACTCAAAGTGTACAGACTGATTTCCTGGCCTTTTCACAACAAACCTGCCCCTTGCTGCTGATTGGCACAGAGTGGTTGATTGTTCATCATGATTCCCTCTCAGCCAATCAGCAGCAAAGGGTGGGCAGACACTATCTTGGCTGCTCCTCTTCATGTGGGTGGCATCACCTCACTGGGAGACTGCGAGGATGGGCTTTAGTGGCTATGAAGACTGCTGGCTGCTCCCACTGGGGAGCCAGCATTTTATTTTTAGTAAGTTTTTTTTCTTGATTTCACAGACAGTGCTTGATTTAATGAAATCCACAAAATCGCAAACTAAGTAGGGTCCCTACCCATGCCAGGTTCTCTTCCTACTTCCACCACCATGCTCTACTTTAGGTACCATCTCTTCTCCTGCATCCTGCTCCATGTTCTGCCCTGTATGTTTTGCTTAAGTAAAGATTCTGCATTGAGTTCCCCTGTCTGGTCTCCCCCTGTGACTCCTTCACCCTCCAGACCTCAGCTCAGCTCAGCTGGCTGGAGGCTGGAGTGGAGGCTCAGGAACTGGCACTGGTGATTGCATCCAAAGCTCCCAAGGTCAGGGCCTCTTCCTCTACCTGTTGTAATTAAGCAGCTTCTGGGAGAAGCAAAGAAGTGGGACCTGCAGTCAGTGCAAGGGAGCAGTGAAAGAACTGGTGAGGAGCTGTGTCTGGGATTGGGGACCACCAGCAGAGTGCAGGGATAGCAGAGGGGCTGTACATGGTGGTTACAAAGAGTGCTAGCAAGGCAGCAGACACTTGGATTGGGACATAGGAGGCCAGTTCAAAACCTTCTCTGGACTCCACTGCCCCAAAAGAGTTCCTGTGTTTCCATTTTTCTTTTTAAATGGGTTTATTTAGTTGGCTCAGTGAGATGCCCTTCTGAGAGAGGGTTAGGTACATACCGGCAAAATCATTCTCGCATCTCTTGTGGTGCAAACCACAAGTTTCAACTGTTCCAAAACATGGCTGCTTGTCACACAAGTACATGTTTCTAGAAATGCAACTGCAAAGTTACCTTTCATAAGGTACCTTTACTGTAGCATAAAGATGTGACAGTGATGAGGCAGGGGCAGGGAGGATGTTGGTATCTAATACAAGCCAGGCTCCTTAGCTCACAGCTGCATTGCGCCTACCTGACTTTACCAGTAACACCAGCCTTCATTCTAGAGGCCAGTCTGGCCTCGTGCAAAGGGAGCACTATGCTGCCTGCATTACTTCCAGCAGCAGCTCACTCAATGCTAATTTCAAGGCACTTGCCCTGAAGGGGTGCAGATGTCATTTGGTCTCCACTGTGGGACTGTGTGAGCCCACTTCTGATAAGAGAGCAGCATCAGCCAGCAAACAGCTCCGTATGACTGAGCCAGGGCTGGGCTCTCAGCTCCCAGACCCCTTCACATATACCCTCCCCCAACCATAAACACGCACATAGTCTCACCATTCCCCACTCAGCAACAGCCAGCCTTTTACTGCCTTCTCAGTCACACACATAACTGTTGCCTTACCAATTCCTTCCACTCATCTGGTCATAACCACTCTCACTACCTTTGCTAGCAGCTGCCCAGTTACAAATCCCTTAATCTTATCCTCCCAGCCAGTCAGACATACCTGATATTGCCCATTTCTCAGCCAGTCTTAAACAACCCCCATATGCTCAATTCCCCACCTACCTAATATAAACAACTGGATTTACTGCATATATTATCCAACTGCCCAGTCTCAAAATCACCCCCCGTTGCCTCCCCTGATCTTCCCGCAACCCATTACAAACACCCCTAGTACTTCACCCACTTCCATCTGCCCAGTCACAAACATGTTTCTTTTCTTTACTTATTCCCACTGCCCAGTTATTAACCATCCTTTTGCCTCCCCAAGAACTCTGCTCCCCAATAACTGGCGTTCTGCTGCAGGGTGCCCTTCTTCACACCAATTCACATGGACCCTGAACCTTCTCCCTTCCCTCACCCAGTGACAAAACCCACCATAGTTTACCTTCACCTCTGCCCACTGATAAACATTTTTATGATCACAGAACTCCTCAACTGGATTTACTACATCTATTCCCCACCTATCTAGTCACATTCACCTTGGGTGTCCACCCATCCCTAATTGGGTGGGACAGTCCTGAAATCTGAACATCAGGTCTTGGTCCTGTGCTGAATGACTCCAGAACAGCACTTGTCCTGGAGCTCCAGTATTGTGCAGGGATCCGGGTTTTCCATTTGCTGCAGAAAAACGTGGGTTTCCCCTTGCAGGCTGAGGGGAGTGGGACATGGGTGCCATGTGTGCATGCACACATCTGCACCTGGCCGGGAATACAGCCAGGCAGCTATGGAGAGCAGCTCCCTACAGGTAAGTCTATGGGTGGGAGGGGGCACATGCCCCCCCCAGATGTGTGTGTGGGGTAGGGGCAGATGCAGGCTGCCCACTGCAGGCTCAGGGCTCCCCACCTTGCTGCTCTCCCCTCCAGGGGCCCTGCCCCACCATGGCAAGGCACCCTCTACTATGGCAAGGCACCCCCTGCCTGTCTGGAAGCAGTGGGGATGGTGGTGGCATGGAGTTGTGCCCCCCATGGCTGCTGGGTGGGCAGGGAGCACCTCACCATGACGGTGCCTGGCTCCCAGGGGGAGGGCTGTAGGGTGGGGAGCCCCAAACTCGCAGCGGGCAGCCTGCATCCTCCCACAGGCTCTGCTCCTGCCGTGCCACTGGGTGGGGTGGGAGGTGGGCATGTGTTCTGCCTTTCCATTTTAAAAAGGTAGTCACCCTACAATCACCCCATTGCTTCCCTGATCCCCACTCAAATCAGTCAACCAGCCCATCCCTTCATACATCCCCCAAATAGTCCTGTTGTCTTTCCAGTCCCCTCAACATACCCCATGGCAAAGATTCACAAGACTTCACTTACCTCTCCATCAGTCACAAACACCCACATCCATCTTCCGATGGTCCAAACACAAACACACCCATCATCTCACCCATTGCCTCAGATCATTTACAAAAAGCATTTTGCCTTCCCATCTCTCCAGTCTAAAAAAAAAGTCATTCTCCCCTAGCTCCTCACCCAGTCACAAACACCCTGCTGTCTCACTCCACTCTACTCTTGTCCAGTCACAACCACCCCATCACCCCATTCACCATCGCCCACTCAAAAATACCTATTTCCTCACTTTTCCTCTGCCCAGGCACCAATATACTTCTCAGCCATCCCCCCAATCCAGGCACAAGCAACCTTTTTACCTCCTACACTCATCACAGTCACTCCCACTTCCTCACTCATCTCCCACCCAGAAATAACCTCTCCCTTGCCCTATTTCCTGTCCAGGTATAAACAACCCCATTGCCTTACCTGAGCTACACCTGCCCAGTTACAGTAATAACTGTCATCTCCCCATCCACTGTTTAGTCATAAGTACCCCTCATTGCCTCACACAGCACCCCAAGTCTGTCACAAACACCCCACACTCTGCCAACCTGCACTTGCCCAGTTACAATGATCTCCATTGTCTCACCCTTTTCTCCTGCCAAGTTACCAGCTCTGCCATCAACTCACCCATACATCTGTCCAGCCACATTGGTGAGCTGCTGTAGGGTGCCCACCAATGTAATGCTCCCCGAGATGTCCTGTCCAGTCACAGAACCTACTATATCCTCACTCACAGCCAGTACAGCTACAAAAGCCTCTACATCCTGTCCATTTCCCCATACTCAATCACAAGCAAGCCCTCACCTTGCTTATCCCCGCCACTCACTGAATGACAATTATGCACCCAGCCCACATCCACCTAGCCACAAACTGCCCCACACCCAATCACAAACACCCCTCATGACTTCCCTGATTCCCCTCACCCACCCACTTATCACATCCACAAACACCCATCTCCTCATCTATCACTTGCAATCACAAATTTAACTGTTCTCTGGTCTGTCCCCTAATAGTCACAAATACTCCCTCTTCTTCCACCCAGTCACACCTGTGATTGCTTCACTCCCTCTTCCCCCCCCTTCATAAACATATTCCCCCCCTTCCCTATTATTGTCCATTCAATCAACACCCCATTACTACTCCATTTCCTCCCTTTGTATCACAAACACTCCCCTCCCCTTACATCCCTCCCCCATCAGAGAGCCAATGGTACTTGTAGCAGTGGAGTCATATGACTGTGAGCTGTCCCAGCCTGTCCTAGGGAGCAGCAGTGCTAACTAGGGTGGGGACACTCGCTCAGCTAAATAGTTAAGCTGCTGCTTAGTTACTGGGAGCTCAGATTATACTAGCTGGCAGAGCGGAATGTCAGGATCTCCTGGAGGCAGAGCAAGAAGTGCAAGAGAAGTCTTGCCTTAGCTCGGAGAGGCTTTTCCAATCCTGCTATCTCTGTTTCTGAGAACTCTGCCCTCAGCACTAGGCAGAGACTTTGATACTTCTGCACAGATAAGCCTCTAATGCTTGAACAAGCACCAGGCTCATCCCCACAAGAAGAGCATTTCACGCTGGCAGGAGGTCAGGCAACATCAGCACAGCAACCGTGAAGTCCTCAGGCAGGGGCTGTTGGGCACTGCGCACAGCAAGAGGTAAAAAAAATGTGGTGAGGCGTGGGTTGTGACATCTCCATACACTCTGGAGCCCAGTGGGCAGGGGAGTCTGTAGGGAGGGCAAGGCAGAGATGGTGGGGGCTCAGGTGAGGGCACATGGTCACTGGGATGAGGATAGTGTGGTGGACATGGGCAGCCAGGTGAGGCTACAACATTTTAGGGATCACCCAGAGCTTGCTGATACTGTCCCCTGTATTACAGGCCTGGTTCAGGCCCAATTTTTGGGCTCTGTCAACCCATCCCTTGGTTCCTTACCCTGCCACTGTGGGAGTAAGTGTCTCACTCTGTTCTCTGATCAAGGATGGGGTTTCACATTGAAGTTAGCAGGATGAGTAGATATGGCAAAGGGGAGAGAGCAGATAAAGAGCCCTGAACACCATGCTGCTCAACCCTCCCCTTCCTCCCCCAGCACCCTCCCCCAGCCAAGGAGTTCAGGTCAGCACCTCCTGTCCCCCAACCAGCTCGGGGGTCAACCAGCCACCCCTGTCCTGCTCAGTTTTCCCTCCTGTCATCCAACCTTCCCTGTTAGTTTCTTCTCCCATTTCCCCCTCCCTTCAAATTCCCAAACCAGTCCCATCCAGCTCAGAGCCTGCCACTCCTTGCTCAGTCTTTGCTCCCCAGTCTCCAATCCTAGTAGCAGCCCTGGTGCCACGGAGTGAGGGACTGCAGTATGTCTACCACCCAGTCAATTGATTTTACTACATAAGATGGGAGCAGCTGTACAGTGCAGAGCCCTACTAGGTAGTAACTTACTCAAATCTAGGTTGAAGTTACCCCTTGAAAAATGTGCAGGAACTTTATCTGGGAAAGTTACTTCATGCACTAAGTATCCAGTCCCCTCTCAGTTTGATTGCAGAGTAGCTCTCTGGTCAGCGCAAACCAGCAAGCCCGCAAACTGGGGCCAAGGGCTATAATAGCACCTACTGCAGGCGGCCAGTTTGGGAGAGCTGGGCATGCGTCTGCTTCTTACTGCAGCATAAATCTAGTGGAGTAAACCCAGAGTAAATTACTAAGTAGTAATTGTGCTGCAAATCTACGCTCATAGATAAATGGCCAACGGGCAGTTCGCTGCCTTGGGACTGTTCAGACCCTTCATCAGGCAGCACTTGTACCGGGCGTGCGGGGCCCTGGGGCTGCTCCCACCAGCATGCTGGAGGGAAATAAAGCATCCCTGGGACGAGTCAATCCTATTACGCTGTCAGCCCCCAAGAGGGCACGCGTACTCATTAAAGCATAATGCGACACAATTTCGTCCTCTCTTGGCAGCAGCCCTTTTTTCAGCTGAGCAGTAGGGCAGCACTTGGGGCCGCGCCAGGCTTTTCCCTCTGGAGGAAAAGCCGCAGGCCTTATTGGAGGCGGCACGGACGGTGAAACAGCGCTTGTCCAGAGGGCCGCGCCACAACATGGGGTGGCCAAACCCTGCCCTCGGGAGCCCTCTGCCGACACCGGGCTCTGGGCAGGGCCAGAGGACGAGGCCCTGAAGAGCTAACTGCAGGTAGCAGCACCTCCCTGGGGGCAAGCGCCGGAGCCGGATTCAGGCTCCTTGACTCCCAGCGCGGCGCCCGCTCCGGGGCAGGGGGGCCAGGGGCCCCCCGGGCTCGGCTGCAACCTGCCAGCCCCCGCCCCGGCTCCGGCAGGGGAGCAGGGAGCACTGGGGATGCATCCCGCCCCCAGCCCGGCCCGACCAATTGGCGCCCTCTGCCGCAGGCAGCTGCCCAATCAGCAGTAGAAAGACGGGAAGGAGCCGGGGCCACACCGCCCCCTGGGGAGCAGTGGGTTCGCGGGGTGGGGGGGGGGCTCCCGCTTGGTGGCGGCGCAGCAAAAGGCCCCGGCCCCCACCTGCCTTCAGCCCTCCCCATTGCAGAGACGGGGCTGAGCCAGGACTGACAGCCCTCCTGTCACCCCCGCACCCAGGAGGCAGGGCGGGGCGAGCGGGGTGGGTGAGGGGCCTGGACTGGGGCCTGGAAGCTGTGGGCAGGATGGTGGCTGCAGCATGTGGGAGATGCCAGAGGGGCACAGGGGTGAGGGCTGTGAGGATGGGTGCGGGGGGCAGGTGGAGGTGAAGGTGGGTCCTGCCGGCATGGGCTGACTGGCCTCTTCCTCCCAAGCATGAACCCCTATGCAGGGCTGGTGAGCCGCCTGCGCGCTGCCTGGCTGGCGGGGAGGACCCGTCCCATGGAGTACCGGGTCTCCCAGCTGGAGGCGCTGGGCCGCTTCCTGGATGAGAAGAAGAAGTCCATTATGGACGCCTTGGCCGCAGACTTGCGCAAGGTGAGGGGCCATGCCGTGGCTCAGCGGGTTGCTGAGTTTGGGTCTCCCCAATAGGACTAGCAGCAAGAGGCCAAGGGGTTTATTCTGGCCAGGGAGTAGGTGCACAGGGCTGGGGTGTTTTGACCCAATCTTGTGCCTATATCTGGGTTTCTGTTTGTCAAGGCAGGTCAGAACAGGGCATCTGGATATGAAGCAAAAGGAGGGGAGGTGCATGGTCCCTTGTGGAGCATGTGTCCCCTGCAAGGAAGTACTTGCAGATGGATAGCTTTGCCTAGGCACAAAAAGCTCTTGTGGGACAGAGGAGTCCTCCTTGGCCTCACCCAATTTTGATTAGCTCCCAGATATACTGAGTCCAGGCCAGACAGCACCTTGAAGATACGGAGTAAGACCTGGGCTCTGTGCATGAGGCAGAGCAAGGAATGCAGTGCAGGTGTGAAGCACAGGATAACTTGCGTTATAGAAGAGCTGCCTGGCAGCATTTTGGACTGGCTAGGGTATCAGTCCCATGTCTAGTGCACTGCTGGGTCTAGCTGGGAGATGGTGAGGGCATGTACAGCTGAGGTCAGACCACCTTCCTGCAAGCAAACAGCAAGGGTGGAGAGCATAGCACTCAGACACGGCTATTTGTGTGGGGGGTCAGTGTTAGCAAGGGGTCAGCAGTCCCTAGACTAGTGCTAGAGCACCTGGTCAAAGTTGCCTTGGGCTTGCTATATCTGTGCCCTATGCTGCCCTTGTGCAGTGGGGTCTGTGGGTACCTGCTGAGCAGAGTGGTGTCACTTAGCCCATAGCCAGGGGAGCACTAACACTGCTTTTTTTGTCTCCAGCCTTGCTTTGAGGTGGAGGTTTCTGAGGTCATCCTATGCAAAAATGAGCTCAACCATGCACTGAGCAACCTGAGCAGTTGGATGAAGGATGAGCATGTGGACAGGAATCTGGTAGGGGTGGATGCAACCCCAGGGCTGGCTCAGGCTCTTTCCCC